GCCAGGTGGCATCATTGATGGTGTCAAGTGTGGCAGTGGTAGTGAGGTTGGCCCACGATTGGGCATTATTTCGTTCTGCTGTGCATGGGGTCGCTATGAGTCGGTTCTGACTCGATGGCACCTGACAACAACACCACCTACCAGAGCAGGACATGCGGACAGGTCAAGGGAAGTTTGAGAAAAATTTTGTTCAATTTTTTTAATTTTTACATTGCTTTTATCTACAGAGATAACCTTCAGAAGTTGTTGGGGTGTTTTGTCTTTTTTTTTTCAGTTTTTATTGTGAATTGGATGAAAGTGTGCTAAGCAAATCATCAGTTTTCCATTCAACAATTCACACACATTTTGTTTGGTTTCATTGATTACGATCCTCACCCTCCCTTAACCCTTGTCACTTTTCCCACTTCCTCCCTGTGTTTCCAGTTTTCACCCCTCTTTTTCCCTAAGCCTTCTGAACTCTGTCCTCGGGTGAACAATCTTTTGACTACATCTTTTCCAACAACTTTTTGAAGCCCATCTGTATCTTAACACCGCACTGGGAGCACTTTTGTATCCTCCAAATCATCTAAAAAGCATTAGGCTAAAAAGATGCTGGGTAAATATTTACTAATTCAGAACATGAAACAAAAAATGAATCCAACACAAACCAAGGAAGAAACAATTGTGACCTTCGCGCTGTATTAACCTAGAGAAGGGGAAGACGGCACAGATGGCGCATGCATGCAGACTGAACTGCACACGTCTGTTTCTTGTGACTACAGAGGGCAATAAACACAAGTGGGTGAGAGGCAGACCCTGAGTGAACCTGACTGGACTCGAAGCACAGGTGGAGCTCAGCACTGTGTGGTTCAGGACAAACCACGCCAGCTTCTGTGGGGAGCCTCTCACACTGAGCAGCCACCATGGTGCTGCTACTGCCCAGAGCTGTGTACGGTGTGGAGAAAGTGACTACAGCCCACCAGGAGATGACAGGTCACCACTCTTGGTGAGGAGGTCCTGCTGCATCTTGTAAAGGTTCATCAGTCACAACATAAACAGATGCTGAAACGTGGTCACCAACGGACCTCAAATACCCACTAGGTCGATCATTGTTTCAAGTAACCTACCTGCCAGGTATAATCCTTTATGATTTCTGTCGGCATTGGAATTACAAGGAGATTCTGAAGAATAAATGCAGCCTAAAAATAAAGACAATGTCAATAGTGCCATCTTGTTGTCATCTCTGAAATAACCAGTGTCCCCTTACTCTCTGCTCAACTGTGCATGCTGAAGCCAGTGAGCTCCGTCAAATCGTGTTTCCCCTTTTGTAATCTGATGACCTGAGAGTGGATGAAATGATTTCATCCCAAAAATACATTTTGTTTCACTTTCAGAATTAAAAAAAAAAAAAAAGATTTGTGGAATATCTACTGTCTGATAGCATTTAAGAGCTAGCCTTCAGGTTGCTACCATGCTGTTACAGATTTTATCCACACACACACCTTTGCTCTCCCCACCTCCTTACAAATGCCTCTCAATAAACACTGACTAATTAGAAAAGTAAATCATGAATTTCAAATTCACAGCGAGGCCCCGAAGATGAGGAAATGAAATGCTCACACAACATGAACACTGCCGGGCAACGGAATGCAAGCTTAGGACACAAGAATGAAGGAGACGGGACAACAGGGTTATTCGAGGAGCGGCGTTCCCCATGATCCCAACTGCAAGCCAACAAGTAAGGCTTACCTGTGATCAGTCAAGAGCAAGCCGTACGTTTAAGCACAATGGTTTAAAGTCAGCTAGAAAACAAAAGCTTTCGGGGTTTCAAACTTGGGTCTGGCTAGCAGTGGGCCTAGGAGTTGCTATTTTTGTTAGACACCACCGAGTACTATTTGCATCTTTCTCAACTATTTACCTGGTTGATCACTTGGAATGAAAAAAAAACCACACAGTATTTAGAAAGAACAGGAGCATGTGTACGTTTCCTCGGGTACATTACCTCCTGCACACTAGAGTGTATTTCAGTGACTCACCTGAACTGAAACCTGACCCTCACTGGAGACCTGTAAACACTGCAGTAATATCAAAGAATTTTCCCTGTGACCTTCAGGAGAGTTGTGGCAGGCAAGAGATCTAATGGTCAGGGGTCACTCCACCACGTAGGACAGGACACATTATCGGAATGAGTTACTATGGGGAGAGGGACTGGGTAGCAGACAGACATACCTCGCGGCGAACCATACTACATTCTGACTGGTCCAGAAGAATATTCATCACCGTTCCCCAGAGCCCACCAGAAATGTTTTGACAACTGCTGGCCAAGGCCATACAGCCCGTTTCAAGGGTGGTTAATGCTGATCCTAATCCCAGGGAAGTGAATCTCACCTGTTCAAATGACAGAGAAAGAGGGCCAGTCAAGGATTCGGATTTCCTAACAGGAATTCAAAATGATTTTTCTGGTACAGAAAATACCATACTTTTATAGCCATGGCATTGGTTTCACAGTGTGAAATGAAAAAGACACTTAAGAGAAGAGTGTACTCTAAGCTTATGAATAAAAATCCTACTCCATGGTTCAAGAAAGCAACAAGATAGCCAAAAAATAAACCTAAATCACTAAAGCCAAGTGTCCCCAAAACTCAAATTCAGCTAGAAATCAGAAGTTCAAAATATTACATTATGAGCCTTTTTCCAGGAAAAGTATAGGGAGTTTGCATCGTTTTTATGACCTCTGTTCTATACCCCAACGTGGCAAGACTTCACCTCTCACTCTTTGGACACGTTGGTCAGAGTAAAGCAGGAAGGCCCTCAGAGAGATGGACTGACACAGTGGCATCAACAATGGGCTCAAACAACAGTGAAGACAGTGTAGGACCAAGCAGTGTTTCCTGCTGTTATGTGTGTGGTCACATGATGGCAACCAACAACACTGTATTCCTTCCTTGTTCGTAAAGAGAGAGGGTGCCTGATTATTGTGATTCTACAGCTTAAGTTTCTTCCAAATGAATGGATTGAAGTTCCTAAATAAACAAGCAAGCAACTGATTGTTTTCAAGGCACATAATAACAAGTATTTTTTGCCAATACCTTCCTTGAGGGAAGCCCAGACTTCTTTCTTCCAGTACCATCTGTTCTTGATCACATGATAGCCTTTGATGGGCTTGAACATTGGCCATTTCTTTTTGGTACATCTTCTGATGCGTTCTGCATGATTCAATACTTTGCCCATTGTTGTTGCTGTTAACGCTCATCAAGTCAGTTCTAACTCATAGTGACCTGTATAGGGTTTTTTCAAGGAGCAGACCGGTAGGTTTGAACCACTGATCTTGCAGCTAGTACTCCTGTGCCTATACTACAGTGCACCACACGAGGGCTCCCTTTTTTTGCTAAAAGAATCCTCCAATATTACAAGTCAAGGTTTGAATTTTTTCTTCACTTCTTTCAACTTGAGATATGCTTAGCATGTTCTTCCCTCTGGATTTTCTAACACTACATCTTTCCACATTTCATTATACTACTGGACTTTGTCTTCTCCAACTTCCCTTTGAAACTTTGTGTTCAGTTCTTTTACTTCCTTATGTCTTCAGTTCCTTTAACTTCTCCATGGTCAAGAACAAATTTGAGTCTCTTCTGATATCCAGTTTGCTCTTTCTTTTCATCTTGATGAACTTTTGCTTTCTTCCTATGTGATATTCTTATGTCATCCCACCATTTTTTTTGGTATTTCATCATTAGTGTCGAATGACTCAAATCTACTCTTAAGTGGACCTCTAAATCAAGGGGGCTATGTTCAAGGGCAAAGTCTGGTTCTCGAGCACGTGTTTTAATTCTCTTCGGCTTCGGTCTGAACTTGTATATGAGCGTTTGATGGTCTGTTCCTGGCCTTGTTCTGGCTGATGAAATGGAGCTTTTCCATTGCTTCCTCCCACAGATGCAGTCAATTTTATTCCTGTGTATTCCATCTGGTGAGGTCTATGTATATAGACTCCTTTTACATTGTTTAAAAAAAGTATTTACAATGAATAAGTTGTTGTTCTAGCAAAATTATTTCATGTCATCTCCACCATCATTTCTATCATCAAGCCCATATTTCCCAACTACTGATCCTTCCGCTTTGTTTCCAACCTTCACATTCTGATCATCAGTGATTATTAATGCATTCTGATTGCATGTTTAGTCAATTTCAGACTGAAGAAGTTGGTAGGCTTCTTCAATTTCATCATTGCTGGCTTAGTGGCTGGTACATAATTTTTTGAATAATAGTGGTATTAACTGGTCTACCTTGTTGTTG